ACTAATTCTACTGAACTAATGAACTAATTCATTGCCCGTTTTTTGAAGAAAGAAGACATAAACGTAGCTTACAGAATGAATAGTAATCTAAGTAAATTTATTAAAAACAATAAAGACAAAACTTCGTTGTTCGATAGATCAGGAGTATATAAGCTGACTTGTGGCTCTTGTCCAAAACTGTATATTGGCCAAACTGGAAGAACATTTTCCCAAAGAATTAAAGAGCATAGAAGTAGTTTTGTAAATGGAAAGACCAATTCCACATTTGCAAACCACTTTTTAGCAGAAGGACATGAGTGCAATCATGAATACGATGTGTTACATTTAGAAGAGAAGAGTTTGAAACTAAATCTTCTAGAATATTTAGAAATCAATAGGATCAGAAATTCGGGTAATTTACTGAATGATCAATTAGAATTAAATAACTCTCCGTTACTGAATATTTTTTCAAATGTGGAAAATGGAACATAAGCTCAGGTAATTAAATTCATTACAAACTTAGGTAAAAAATCAGGTACTTGAAATTCAGGTACTTCAAATTGTAGAATAAGGTATATATAGCATTTAATGTATAGAATTAGTTATTAAGACACGCCCGAGGAAGCCATTGAATGGCGAAACACGTGTTGCGTTTTTGTAAAACTGTCTAGTGAAAATCACACAATAAAGTGTTTTTAGAATACGTTGAATCCAATTGGTCATTTAGTAAAATTTTTATTATTTTTCCTCAATTCAAATAATTTACTTTCAAACCTATATTTTCTATGTGTAAAATTTCGAATTCTCCGTTAAGGATATGATTTTCTTCTAAAATATGATTTGAATATGTTGAACTTGTTCTATTAATTACATAGCTCACATGATGTTCCTGGATTTGATTCCTAATTGGTCCGCCAGTTTTACTATACATATATACCTTAGGACAAGTTCTACAATTTAATTTATAGATATAGTCAGTGAGCATACTTGAAGACTGGCTATAAATCAACGAATTCTTCTTTTAGATGATTTGATTTAATTTATATACTCTTGATTTCTCGAATTTGGATGTTTTGTCTCTTCTATACGCAATTTTGACATCTTGTTCATTAAAAAATGAAGCCACTTTTTCTGTTATGTTACAGCTTCAACATATTTTGGACAAACGTGTAATGAGCTATGTAAATAATATATTCAACATATTCAAATCATCTTTTAGAAGAAAATCATACCTTTAACGGCGATTTCGAAATTTTACACATAGAAAATGAAGGTTTGGAGTGAAATTATTTGGAAGCAATGGAAATGAATAATCTTGAAAATTCAAATATTTTACTGAATCACCAATTGGATTCAATAGATAAAATATGTTTTTATATTAATAGAACAGGTATTTAATTTTATACTTATTTACTAGCCTTGTTAGAACATTTTTTTGGACAATAAAGTATTATAAAGAAACCTGCCGGAAAACAACTACTTCCCCGGCTAATACCAGGATGAATTTTGAATTATATCTGGGAGACTAACTTCTGTGAGGTATCTTGCATAAATATTTAATATCCAGCGTGATATTAGCCCGAGAAGTAGTTGTTTTTCAGTGGACATCTATCAGAACTTACTTTGTACGTAGTTGTTAGAAATGAATCTTTGGAATTTCATTTCGAAAAATTCATTTTCTATTTCGCATGTAACTCTCCTCGATACGCAGTCTTCAGAAATGGTATGATCTATTTTCAATAATTGTTGATTACAGTAAAAAATATGAATGTTCTGTAGACCCTGACATGATAATCAGAGTTTCTCATCGAACTTTTTGGAAATTCTCACAGTCTAAAAAAATTAAAATCCCAGTGAAGAACTTTAAATACCAAGGGCTAACAAGTTATCGCGCAAATTCAAAGTATTTTTCACAAAGAAAATTCACCAGCAACTTTTTGCATATAATTTTGCTCCTAACAAAAAAAGAAAGAAATTACACGAACCTAAAATCTGCTCTCTTCTTTAGAATTGAAAAAATCGAATGTGTCTCGCAGTTTTTTCTTTGGAATTTGGAAGATGAAAATCCTCAAAAAGGTTGATGGAAAACTACTATATTCAAAGTTAATATTGAACTCTAAATATACTAATTTCACTGGTTTAAAGATAAAATAATGCTGATTGAAAATAATTCAGATTAGTTTCAATAGTTTTTTTCATTGGGGAATGAGAAAAATACCATCTATAAGAAGATACTGGAAAACTTCATACCAAATTAAATTTCGATAGATACTCATTCATTTCCAAGGGACATAAACACCCAGTTACAAGAAATGCTAAATTTTAGTGTACAGGGTGTAACATAAATACGTTAAAATATCCAAGTGACTTGTTCCTGAAACAATATAAAAACATTCTATATAAACGTGTGTTCCGAAATGCTTAGTTTTGGAGATACAGGGTGTTGAAATTGACTTTTCGTTCATTTTTTACAAATATTTTTCGCAAAAAATAAGTTATTTGCACGAAATTTGTTACCCGAGGTTTTTTCAACGTGGAATATCATAATTTCGTATAGATTTTCATGTTAAAATCTGTTTTTCCGTTAACTAGCTGTCGTCCCCCTACGAACGACAACTCTCGAAAGTCGAAACTTGTGCGAGCTAAGGACTAACGAGGTCTTACCTTTCAACGTGTTATTCCTAATATGGGTTGGACGATAGGAAGTGAAAATTGATCGTCCGACTTTGCGTTTCGAGCCACCGGTTCACACATCGATGGATTGAGTGAATGAAGCAAACCACCCCCGTCAACCCACCAGGCTAATGTCCCTCAAATTGTAGAGGGCGCTGCGTATGCTGTCAGTATTAATTTCAATTTGAAAAAACCTCAACAACGAGGTATTTAAAATTTTCTATATCGATGCATATCGATCCACCACTTACTGAGTAAGTGGTGGATCTCGTCAAAAAAACAAGTTTTTTCTGTGAAATGTTCATCGAAAAATCATTCGTTTTCGAGATAGAAATAACTAAAATTGCAAAAAACTTATGACAAAAACCAACCATTTCAACAATTTGTATCTCGAAAACGAATGGTTTTTCGATACAGAACATCGTAAATATCTCAAAAACGATCAACTCCAGAGTTGTTGAGGAAGTGTACCTTTTTTACTTGGAAAAAGTATGAGAATTAAGTTTTTTCAATTTGAAATAAATAATGACAACATCCGCAGCACCATCTAAATGTTACATGAAAATCAATACGAAATTACGATTTCCTACGTCAAAAAACACCGGGTACCAAATTTTGTGCAAATAACTTATATTTTGCAAAAGTTATTTTTAAAAAACGAACAAAAAATCAATTTCAACTCTCTGTATCTCCGAAACGAAGCATTTCCGGACACAAGTTTATGTAGACTTTTTTTAGTGTCTCAAGAATAAGTCACTTCAATATTTTAACGTTGTTATGTCACACCCTGTATAAGGACGCAACTTAGAAAAATGATAAACAATTAATTATTACGAACTCAATTACAAATATGCGAAATACCAGTATATATAAAAAAAAGTACATTTATGTGACATGGTAAATGATTTTATACTCTCAAAATTATGAACCTAATTTAGAAATTGGGTATGGTAGTCAGAAGTTCATCGAATGGCTGTATAATAAACACTTTTCATTGATCATTCAAGCTTTCGGAAAGTTTCATTTTCCTTTTCCAGAATATCTAAAATAAAAAAATGGAAGCAAACAATAAATTAAAAAACATGAATGAAAGTAACTTACCAAAATACGGTTTAAAAGAAATATCATTCATTTACAGAAATAAAAACGGTGACAGATGAAAAATGTGACTAATGTTGAATATTCTGTCATTGCTCATGAGAAAATGGATTTGAATGTAATTTTGATATACAGAGAGTTGTCTTAAATATAATTCCCAGTAGAAATATAGAAATAGAAAGATCTTTAATAATCGGAGTCATTTATTTTATGGGATCTGCCCATCAAGACGCCAAAAAATTTCTTCGATATCTTTCAGAAGGTTTTCATGAGGACCTCAATGGAATTACTGGGAAGCCTATACCGATCTTAACGGAAATTGACGAAAAATTTAACTGGCTGAGATACTGGAACATGAACAACTCTAGATTGTAGACAATTTCGTTGGTCAATTAAAATCTACTATGAAGTGCACACATTGTGGATACTCATCAGTAACCTTCGATCCTTTCTGGGATTTTTGGGATTTGTCTCTCCCTATACCACAAAGAACAGGCCAATTGAGTTTGTCACAATGCTTGTATTTCTTCACAAAAAAGGAAACCCTGGATGGAGATGAAAAACCAACCTGTTCGAGGTGCAAGGAAAGAAGGAATTGCACAATCAATCCATAATTTTCCCCGTATTATAGTAATTCACTTCACAGAAGGCAATTATATGAGCAATTATGCAGCAGACAATGTGGCTCCTTGTCGTTATAATCTATATGCACTTTCGAATCACACTGGGACTACTTACAACGGGCATTACACAGAGTATTGCAGACACCCTTATAGTGGCCCATAGAATTAATACAACGATTCACACGTGTTCCCAATTTCACCAAAATCGCTTGTGAGTGAGGAGGCGTATGTCCTCTTTATGAACAGGAAGGAACAAAACAGCACTTTTGGGGTGTTTTTTTTCTTTTTCTCTTTTAATAAGCTGAATTCTGGTAACTGATTTATATTTCATGATTCTTCTGATAATAAACTCTTTGAAATTGAAAAAAAAATACAAAAATTTAATTATAAAAATGCAATTTGCAATCTTTGACTATAAAACTAGGGTTCTGCTCTGGACCAACTATTAGCTTGTTTTTAAGAACTTTGAAGCCATAAAAATGTATTTCTCATTAATCTTATTTATAAAAATACAGCTTATATTCATTGGAGAGTTATCAAAATCGTGTATAAGGGAGTCATAGTTGTAATGTCAATGTCAGAACTGTTTATAAACAAATATTACTATCACCAGCAAGATTAGCTTACCTGAAACATAGACCATGATCAATTTCAAATTGATCTATGTCACATCCTCAAATCACATATGTCACTTGAATTTCACAAATCAATTCATATATTGACGAACAAATGTATTCAAAAAATACCAGTGAATGATCGAGTATAAACAAACAAACAAACAAACACTATGGTGATGCGGTTCTTGTTTAGGTTAAGGCACTGTATCGACTAGACCGCATGCGAAACGCGTCTGAGTGATTCCTGAAACGGACTGAAACACCTGAAAAGGGCGAAAGCATGGTGGAACGACCCATTGCGACACCGGTGTCAGTAACGAATTCAGAAGCGTCAACAGAAGAAAAGTTAATTGGTTCACTTCAGTATAGATGAAAGACTTTTTGAAATTGGTGAATGGAGTGTGGAAAAGAATTGATCGGCTTTTCTTTGAAATGAACTACAATATTATCGATTTTGTTTGAATAATTCAGGTGTTCCAGATAGTCTCGCATGTATGTGATTTTTCACTGGAAAAATTCACTTCCCCGATATACATTTTTTCTTGTATACTTTGAAGAAACTTCTTGATTTTCGTTCTGAAAATCGTAGACAGCAGCATAATGACGTTTTCATAATAGATTCTTTCTTTATTGAAATAAGTAGATTTTTAGGACATAATATGTTTTCGGAAAGAAAGGTTTTTGGTTTTCTACGAGTTCTGTTCAAGAAATGAAATGAATGTTCAAATTTCGCGTACAATTTTCAGTTTTTTCATGTTGGTACACTCTACTCGAACATATGTACACTATGACAAAATTATTGTGAAGGACGTTAATGGTCGCATTACATAATATATTATATATAGCTGTATATACAGGGTGTAACTTAATAAGTGTAAAACATTTAAGGAGGTAAAAAATATTACTGGAGTTTTTTCCCAACACCAAATCGTTATTTTTAACACCTCGACATGTGTTTCGATAACCAAAAGATCATCTTCAAAGAGGAAGATTAAAAAAATTCAAGGAGGTGATTCCTCATCGAAAAAATGATAGGATCTTTCATATAAAGGAATTTCATTGGAACATCCCTTGTTAAGATACAGCACCTTAAAGGGGGTACATAAAATTTGTATAACAATTTTTTTCACAAGCACTAAAAAAGTTACAATATTGAAATTAACCTGACGTTTTGTACTACCAAAAAGACACTTAGCCAGTAATTTATTTGGTTTACCCCATGGTTGTAAGGGGTGGAAAACGCAACCCCTAAAATTTATTCAATAAATCCAGTTCGCATTTATGACGATGTATCTCTGTAGTTGTTCGTAAAATAATTTTTTGCTGCGAACTGGTTTATTTTGGGCAAAAACCCAAGAGACATTTTTTGTTTAGAATGAAACAGGCTATCGGAAATAAATTTTTAAATGGTAAACAAATAATAAGACGAAAAGTTACATTTGAAATAAATTTTAGGGGTTGCGTTTTCCACCCCTTACAACCATGGGGTAAACCGAATAAATTACTGGCTAAGTGTCTTTTTGGTAGTACAAAACGTCAGGTTGATTTCAATATTGTAACTTTTTTAGTGCTTGTGAAAAAAAAACTTTTCAGCCAATCATAAAACTCGGTTAGTAAAAATTATCCATTATCCATTGGACCATTTCGCAGCCGGTTCATTTCTATGTATTGGTTTTTTAGGCCTTTGAGAGTGCCGCCAACTTTAAAAGAGTGCACAATATCGTTTACTTCGACTATACAAGCTGTATTCGTACAGCTTTTGTGACTAACATACTTATTTAGCTCATTTCAACTGTGATTTTATATTGTTTTGTAGATATTTCTGAATAAATATATACTACTGCTAATGATAGCACCATTGGAAGAGACAAAAATCCCCTTCAAAATGATGTGCCACTTGCTCTTTCCATTCAAGATTCCGAGGAAAATATTTACCTTTCGTTGGGAGTTGAATCAGGGAGATTAAATATATTGATTGAAAATAAAATTGATGTCTTCTCAGTTTTTTTGTATTCTCTCCCAGAAATGAAATGGACAGTCTGTGTTTCTGGGAATCCTGTACTCACTGTCATTTTGAATAATCTCAGATGGGAAGCACTTATTCTCCGGAAACGTAAGTTGAACAAACGACTAATTATATTCAAGTCGATAATTCCGCAGAGCAATCGATGTATAACAGTAGAGTGCCCACATGTCCTTGATCCTTGACAAAGAAAAAACAATAATAAGCGCCTCGGCCAGGTGAAATGCACCGGCACCAGGTGTATTCCAATAGCACGTTACATAACCATATCGACTACCCCTATGACGAAAAATCACTCATGCATGGACCGTTGTAGGAGCAAGAGGAAGTACCGCAGCCTGCTGGCCCGTGCACGTGCTCGTGCGATCTGTGAACCATGAACGGTTATCTTTTTTGTACGATAAGTGTGACTTCAATCGTGCAAAGGAGCTGAACGAGCATATAATACTACACAAAATGGTTAAAAGGCTTTTGCGACAAAAGTTTTCAGTGTCACTATTTTTATTCGAGTTTGGAGGCTGTCGATTTTTGGAATTTCTTCCTGACGTTTCGTTGGCAGACGTTGCTAGCTTCTTCAGAGGTTCATACATCTTGAGTTTGGTTAGTTTGGCGTGCCAAGGCAAAGTAAATTGTTATTCACGTTTCTCATACCCTTTTTTACCTGCTGTCATGACGTTTGTTATTCTTGACGTCAGAATTGGATTCCATATTTTTGTTTGAAGGTGATTGACAATGCTTCATGAGGAATTTCATTAGTTTGGACTTCCATTGTCTAATATTATATAAAATGATTTGAAATCCCTGAAAGAACCAATACAAATGAAAAATTAAGAAGAATAGCTGAAAAAAACAATTATATTAAGCAAAAAAATTACAGTGAAATAAAATACAAGTAAAAAACAGAACAATTAAACAAAACATTAACTAGTTCCAACATCTAATATCAGAAACGTAGAGCTCTGAACTGCCTACGTAGAGACAACCCCATCACTATCAAAAAGTCCTACCTGCAGATAAGGAAAACACTAATGTGGTGATGGATACTGTTGTCTACGAACAGAAGATCAAAGAGGTTTTTCAAAAGAGATAATACACGAAGATCGTACAGGACCCCACTGCATCAATTGAAAGGAAGTTGTACCAGACTTTGAAAAAACACCAACTCTATTTATTGAAAAAGGAGAGATCATCGCTAACTCCGCAACACAGTAAGCCCCCTCACTTGTATGGACTATCCATAATCCACAAGAAGGGTGTTCCGCTGAGACCGATCATCAGCTCCAGAAATTCGGCTACTCAAAACTTGTTTAGATTTTTACTCCCAATAATACAACCATTACAAGGAAAAACATCATGTTTTGCGAAGAATTCAAGGCATTTTGTCGAACTACTAGGGGCAATCGAAGATACAGAGCAAGATTAACTAATGAAAAAAAAAAAGGATGGAAAGGTGTGTGGCAAGGGGAGGGAAGTATGTTGAAGGGCAGCATTCGAATGTAGAATAACTTTTATAATTGAACCCTTTTTCGTAACCAGTCTCGTTATTTAATAGCCGGACCTCGTGTATGTTTTTCTTTGCACAACTAAAACGATCTTTTTTTTGGATCGTTTTAGTTGTGCGGAAACGGCCCGCCTCGACTCCATCGAACACCGAGCACCCAATTTTTATTTAATGGCGCTTATTTCAATACTCATAAAAACGGGTAAAACTTTTGAAACAATACATACTTATTCAATATTTCATTGCATCAAATCAGAAAAATTTTCCGAGAAATATCACATTGACCTTAAATGTGAGCGAATATTCATGACTCAAAGCTAGGAAACGTTCAAACAAACGATGAAGAATTGAAAATCATGCGTTCACCGCTATATTTAGACTTTTGACAAAACCACGCCGTCTGAGAAAATTTATGTGAGGCTCACATTAATGCCAGGCCGTCTTGATGATACATAAAATCAGCAAACACTGAGGCACAACGTTACTGCCCGACTTGGCTATCGTGTTGAATAATAATGTACAGGATCATACAGTAGTGAAATTCTATACAAACCTGTGAAAGTTTCAACCCCAAAATTACAGGAAAGGGAAATAAAGCAAAAATGAAAAGACTGTTTAATAGAATACATTATATTATAAAATAAAAGTAACAAAGACAATAGTTTTCAAGAAAGATTGAAACAATGATAATTTATTAGGCGTTAGTGAGAAACATTCAATTACTATGACTAGAAAATAAAAGTTAAGGTAATAATAATACTTCATTGCACTATAAGTGTAAACAAAGTAGAAGCAAGTCAGTCTATCAAAATAATAGAGTAGATTTATTAGATAATAATAATTCATACAAAAGAATGTATATACCACCGAGATTCAACCCCTTTAATAATTACAGTTATGTAAAATAATATAGTCCATTATGTCGAATGAAAAATATGGAATGTTGCAATTCGATACATGTCTTGTAGCATATGAGTGAAGCGTTTTGAAGGGAAAGTAGTTCATATTATCATAAACGATTCCAATGCCTTTTTCAAAACGAATCTTGAGTTTATAAGAAAGGGTACCCTTCAAATATTGTTTCTTCAAAACGTGTACCATAACCAATACTTGTCCAACCACTATAGCTTCAATTTGGAATTGGTATGATTAGTTAGAAGACCGGTGGTATTTTCAAATTTTCACTTCTTCAGAACATTTTTTCTGCAAATATCAAATGGTTTGCACCATTTTAGGTAGTACTTTCAATACATGCAACTAATTTTCCTTCATTTTCAGTATTTCAATATTAACATTTGTTTACAAAAAGGATTTGAAGCTTTAATAACTTCTACTTATTATATGCAAGCACATTCGATAGCAGGCTGTACTATCATCTTCATAGCTCTACTCAAACTGAATGTCAGTTTGATTAGACATTCCGCAGAGGTGCATTACATGCCCAAAGTTCAGGTGGAATCCATCTTACCACTTGCCTCTCATGTGGACCTACGATTTTTTAGGTACGTGTGGCAGATTCCCGAAGGAGAGTTATCATGCCGCGCAGAAAACTGAAGAGAAACTTCAGGCACCTATGCAACGTCTTCCATTTGGAAGATTCGTTGCAAGTTACTTCCTGCATATGAAAAGCAGAAACTAATTTCATTTGGTCGGTACGACCAACCGATAGGCCGGTTTCGGTGTATTGCCCCATCATCAGTACCGGGCAGGTCACTTCAGACGGAGTGAACCGTCTGAGTATCCCCACCAAACACCTGCACGTCATCTTGATTTCAATCAGGTTGGAGCCTGGCTCCCTTACACTTTGAACTGATGTTTGCCAGAAGGACAAACGGGTCATAACTGATGGTGGGTGTTGATGGTATGGCGGCATGAATGTCCTCAGACATAAGTACCGCCCTTCACGGTGTACCCCTACCTGGCTGGGGTGAGTTGGATGAAAAGTTGTTCATCTTTCAACGGAAGATATAGGGGCCTCATTCGACAGAGTGTCGGGGCCTTCTATATCGGGAGGGGTCGTCTACAGTATAATACATAGCTTCCCTGACTAATGGGTTTTCATGAGTTTCTGTACCATCGAAAACTCTCTGATTTCTCGACTGAATGAACTGCCGAATGGAAGGCAGCTGCAAATCTCTGCGGATGGCTTCATTCCTCACGAACCAAGGAGCATTCACAATCATCATCATTAACTTGTTTTGCAATACCTCCAGAATGGAGATATTATATTTCGCCGCTTGTCCCCAGACGCCTGAAGCATACATGATGACAGGCTTGAACATAGTATTATAGATGGTAATCTTGTTCTTGAGACTTATTTTGAATTTTCTGTCGATCAGAGGGTACAGACGTGCTATCCGACTCTCAATCTTTGATTTGACGCTCGTTATGTGCGGGTTCCAAGTGAGCCTACGGCCTATTAGAAGACCGAGGTACTTTACCCGCGCTTGCCAGTCATTCTCCCTTCCAGAGATTCTCACTTTTCTGGCCGGAGAAGATTTCAGTCTTCCCATGGTTATTGCCGGAGTATTTTCCGGGTTCACTCGGATCTTCCAATCAAGGTACCAGCGCTCGAGGCCGTCCAATGCACGTTGCATATAGACGACCCCGAGCTCTTGACCCATGGAAGATGAGAGGAGAGCCGTGTCATCGGCGTACAGAGATATCTTCACACGCTCGGGCCTCGGAAGGTCACTGGTGTAAAGGGAGTAAAGCGTGGGAGAGAGCACGACCCCCTGTGGCACTCCAGCAAGGATCTCTCTGTTATCAGACAGAGATCCCTCTACTCTAACCTGAAATGTCCTGTCTTTCAGGAAAGACCCAATCCACCGGACGAGGCCCCGAGGCAGGTCAAACGTGTTTAATTTGTGCAGAAGACCTTGGTGCCAAACACGGTCGAAGGCCTTCGAGATGTCTAATAGAACAATGTACACTTTTTTGTTGGTGTTTAACTCGTGGATGGTGTTTTCGATCAGCCTTAGAGCCTGTAACTCAGTGGAGTGGTCTCTCCTGAAGCAAAATTGTTCATCAGGTAGAACATTTCGGTCCTCAACTTCTTCGCTGAGCCTTTGGAGAACAACTCTTTCAGCCAGCTTAGCCGCCGAAGAGAGTAGACTTAACGGGCGATAGTTTTGTGGGAACAGCGGGTTCTGACCCTGTTTTGGGATCATGACGACGATCGCATGCTTCCACCTTCTGGGGAAGTGTCTGAGGGCCAACGAACTATTTATGATGTTTAGTAAGCATTCAACGCAATTGTCCGGGAGCCTCTTCAACAACTTGTTAGTTATTGAGTCGACCCCCGGTGCTTTCTCAGCCTTTGCGGCCCTGATGTATCCCTTCAGTTCTTCCACAGAAGCTGGACGGATGTCGTCGTCATCATCTTCCCTGAGAATTCGGTGAACCCGGTCTTCCAACAGCATATCGCGGTCGATGTCGTCGTCAACGTTAAGCTGAAACTGACGTTCCATCGAGTTAGCAAAGGCTAACGCTTTGTCGGCGGGGGAGTAGCACACTCCGCGTTCTCCGTGAATGGGTGAGAGAGCAGTCTTCTTCCCCTTGAGCCTGCGAGTGACTCGCAGCGCTTGGCCGTTTCGATTAGTGGCTCTGCTAGATGGTCTGTGCTTTGCGTTAAAGTCACCAGCAGCAATTGTCGGAGTGTTGCTTCCCATCAGCAGTTCATCCAGTGATTCAGGGAGTAATCGATTGTTCGGGGGATTGTAAACCGAGATTATTCTGTGACAACCCCTACTCAGTCGAAATTGCCCCCACCAAACAAAATTAATTCCAGCTAGTCATAAACTCTTTCTGCAGTTGATTCAGTAGAATGTCTACTACGCCACCTGCAGACAAATCCAGAAACAATTACACAAATACATACTCCAGGGTTGGAGTCAAAATAATGATGACATTCCGGTGAGGTGCTTTACACCGTCGAGTACCTGCCACACATACCTACAAAATCGTAGGTCCACATGAGAGGTAAAGGATAAGGTGTGTCTCACCTGAACTTTGGGCATGTAATCCACTTCCGGAATGTCATTATTTTGACTCCAAACCCGGAGTATGTGTTTGTGGAGTTGTTTCCTGGCTTTGTCTGCAGGTGGCGCAGTAGATGTCTTGCTGAATCAACTACAGAAAGGGTGAAACTTAAGGGATGAAACTTAACCTCAAAAAAAATTTATTCATTATTGAATTTAATCCTTGACAAAGATAATACTGGTACATAATCTATAAATTTAGGTGAACATTTACGTCAAATTGCTCTTCACAAGAATGAAGTCGAGAACTAGGCAATATTTTCGTTGGATCTCGTCTTGCAAGTTTAAGCCACTTATTTCATTTTGTTTTTTTGTATGGGACGAATACAAACAACTTGTTCGGAGTTTTTAATTAATGTAGTAGTACAGTGAGGGACTGCACACCGCCGATACACTTTTGAATCCATTTTTAATATTAGTTATCGCCAAATTTATGGAAAAGCTTCGAATGTTTACTCGAACGTGACGTCACAAGCGACGGCATGACACTTCGGAGTGTTTTGGTGCGAATTTTAAACTAATGAATTGAATAATACTGGAGTTTTTTTTCCAACACCAAACCGTTATTTTTAATACCTCGTTCATCTAATGAATTGAAGTGTATTTATTTGATACTAAACATTTATTTTTTGCAGAAATATGATATACGATGTAGTTATATTTCCCAACATAGAACAATATTTCAAAATCTGTCATTAAGCCTATTTAAGGTAGAGAATATAGTTTTTCGATTATATTTATTGACATCTAGAAAAAAGGTATCTCGTCTAGACGTACTACGTAATTGGGTAAAATCAATTGTTACGTATATTTCAATTTGAAACGAAACTAAACCTCTTATATGCTATAAAAGATGTAACGGGACCGTGTACAATCAATAGCAAAAGAAATAGTTACAAATTAGTGAATGTAGAGTATAAGAGGGAGTTTTTTTGATACAGCATAAACACCAGACTTCTATAAATAAACCAATGCGGGTATGGCATGGAGAAATCGCAAATAATATGAGATACAAATTACAGTTAGGGCTTCTCTGAATGACGTTTTGAAGTTTACTAACTGAACGATTATGGTGATACATCAGTGAAGTCTTCACTAAAAAGAGGTTAACTTCTAGCAAGTGATTCTCTATTCCGGATCATATAAAAAATATGATTGGAGGTGGTTTCTCGGACACAATACATAGGATTGAAAATCTGTGAATGCCCTCTTGCAAAGCTTGTGGAGTAGTGAAGAGAAGGAGTTTCTCGTCAGAAAAAACAAATAAATTGACGGATTTCGATTCTTTTCGAATATTTAACTGACTTAGTGTCTCTCACAATTTCAGACTTTCCCACGCTGCCCCACTTTTTTTGCAGACACACATTACAAGATTATCTGAAAAGTTCACAGGCTGACACACAGATGACGCTACTAGTATTTAGCCCATATGTATTAGTTAACCATAATCTTCAAAAGACGCCTGTACGATGTAAGCAGTAGACGCCTCAAAGAGGCTGTTACCGACGAAAACATCAAAAGCTTTCACAAAATAATTTTGGAGTAGAGATAATCGAGATGACTGAGGCTCCAAAGAACGTGTTGGATATATCGTGCATAAATATTTGGGTACGCCAAAACTCGTAATCGACCAAAAACAAAAACGAATAGACGATTTTGAGCAGTGTTTGAAGCTATTCCACCATAAAAAACTCGAATTTATGCGGCGATATGTGACAATGAATGAAAGAAAGCTCCATCATTTCACATTAGAATCAAGACGATCTTCATGAGTGGACTGCACCTGGTGAACCGACTCCAAAGCGTTCAACAACGCAACAGTCGTTTGGCAAGGCGCACGGTATAATATTTATAGACTATCTTGAAAAACCATCAACAGCGACTATTACATTGCGTTCAAAGGACGAAACAGCGGAAAAACGACCCCATTTGAAGGAAAAAAAGTGCTGTTTCATCAAGAGAATGCACCGTGTCATAAATCTATGAAAACGATGACAAAATTGCATGAATTGAGCTTCGAATTGCTTCCGCACCCACTGTATTCTCCAGACCTGGTCTCCAGCGACTTTTCTCAAGAGAATGCTCGCTGGAAATAAATTGAGCGCAAATGAAGAGGTAATCGTCGAAACTGAGGCCTACTTCGAGACTCTCAAAGGCAACTATACTGAATAATAAAATCAAATTTCATTTTGAAAAAATGTTTCAGCCTACGAACTTTCCAGCCCAACTTAAAAAATATGTATATGTATTTATGAAGTGTCATAACTAAATTGACGATGTATTAAGTTTTATGAATCCCACTGGAAATTCAAATTTGGTTCTTGTTTGTTTGATGAGATCATATAACCTCAAAAGTACCTGTCGATATCCCCAAACCTTAGAGGTATAACATTTATGTAACTTATATTATTTCCCATATAATCTGATATTTTTACTTCAAATACTGATTGGAATGAATTAAATCAATTCATTTGCTAAAAATATGTATATCAAAACTTTGGCACAGCCTTTCCAGAAACTCACTTCTGTATTCTTCAGTAACAGTCCATACTGTTAACGTCATCTTTATCATAATCTTTCAGAATGTCATCTAAAAGTGAACTGAAACTATCAATTACTTCGACCCACTCCACTCTTTCGTTCGTGCAAAATTCAAAGTTGGAATAAACAAAATTCACGAACTCACTTGGCGACAAGACCGTTCGACCTTTCATCTGAATGTAATCATGAGTTGGTTGATCAAGAGAGTTGAAGACAGATTGTAATAAGTTAATATCTTGCGAGTCCAGAATTTCTTCTAGAAGTTTGTCCAAGTCTCCTACATCGTCGCAAGATATTCTACTTGGTAAAATATCATCCACTGAGCTAGGACCCGTTTCCGATCGGGAACAGGAACTGGCCATTGAACCGGAAGTATCGTTTCGAAGCGGTTTCTTCGAAGCAGCAGTAGCTGGAGGCACTTCTGGTGCAACACTATACTTTTTTAGCAAAGCTACAAAGTCCCTAATGGTATTTGTAGCATACTTTCTAACTTGTATATCGCACTGATCTTGCAAAGCAGAATGAAACACAGCCAATGCGCCGTTCAGCGAGAGCTGACGCAAAACTTGGTGTAACCCCTTTTTTATCTGAGCTTCGCTCAAATTCACTATTTTTCTATGCTCTTTGGAGAAGGTGACAGAAGGAAATGTTCCGTCTATCATGCCTTGTTGGGTCAAGTGATGATCTATAACCGATTTCCAGAAATGTAATGCCTTCACTCGTACTTCCCAATGCAAATCTGCAACGACTGCGTGAGTCATTACATCATAGAATTTATCCAGCATACTTTCTGGAATATTTTGGTGACGGTACATACAATGAACCAAAACGGCTGCCTCAGTCCGAACTATCCCTTCTGTTTCCATGTGTAAAATCTCCAAAGACTTTTCCTGAAACAAATTGAATTCTGGTCATTTTTTGTCTGAAGTGTGATGGTCTAATCATAATGTTCTAAAATATGGAAATAGTGGAATAACTTTCGGAGAATGCATGTGTAATGTGATCAGATTTACTCTTGACTGTTATCTAATTGATACCTCTGGTAGTAGGTCAAACGACACCTTTCATATTAAACACCATTACCGAAACTATGGATTCCAGAGCTCTTTAACAAGAATGGTAAGGAATGCCAATTTTAAATGATAAAATAACAAATGAAGCAGTCACTTACCAGGATATTGCCCTTGGTCGATAATGCTTCCCAAAATTCATCAATTTTAATCATTTCTTGTAAACATTTAAGAGCTGTTGCTCTGACGAATGAATTTCCATCTACAGACGCCATATTGAGAATCACACATGGAAAATCATTTTCTGAGACTGGTTTCCGCAATGAGGAGAATTCTAAAAAAAATCATAATTTACAAGGGGAAATGTATTACTTTATATCATGAATTGATAATATCACCTTCGATAAAAACCATTATTACAAAGGTACAATTCTAGCCTCATGTGAAATTCAGATTTTACTGTTAAATCCTAGATCGAAGATCGAAGTTTGGTTTGTTTGTTATGTTTGATTTAGTGCTACAGTATACAGAGAAATTTTGCCATATAAATATTGTTGACGAGAAAACAGAAAGTAAGGATTATATTAGAAAAGAAAAATAAACAATTGAATCCAAATTATGATTGGCCAGGTTTTGGAACTGTGAAAATTCAATGCCACATTGTTTTGGAGTAGTTAATTATGAAAAAAAGCAAAACTCACCTGTACTTGCAGTCTTAATCAATGTACAAATCAGTTCTATGGAAGAGTCTCTGATTTCCCACTCACCATCATGTAATTTCACATAAAGTAGAGAGGCTAATGGTATTATTGTCGTACAGTCAATCTTATCAATCAACAAAGCCAAATGAGGACTCATATACCGAGATAAAGCTTCATCGGCAAGTTTTAACCCTTTTACAACTACCTGAAAAAATGAAATTATTTCAATAAAACGTTTGTTAGCTGTTTGTATGGCGACCGTAAAATGGGCGGAGCGCGCGGTACGTTGCTCGAACAGGACATCAATTTTTGTTGTTGAATGTTATATCCGTCCATGGTGATTTGGTAAAACAGAATGAATAAGTGACAACTAATTTGACAGATGTAGCTTCAACAAAATGGTCGATATCAATTGTTAAAGTTCGAAAGTCTCTGTTGGAAGACCCATTATAGAATAGAATAGAATTTAATCATCTGTAAAAGCACAACATAATATGTTACAAAATAATTTGGTACCTACACAAATGTTACTACTTCATTAGACTAGTCAACTAAAATCAGAATATATACCTATTTATAAGACTATTCTACATACACAACCTACTTTCAACGCCAAAATTTGTTAAAAAAGGTTAAAAAAAAAAGGTCATATTCAGTCATTTGAAAATTCCTTCACAGAATAGAATGCTTTTCTCAGCAAGAACTTACTTAAAAGAGATTTAAAAGTTTCAAAATCATTGAAATTTTTTTCACTGCCATATTTGTTCTTGAAATAATTATAAAATACGATGCCTTTGTATATGTGAGAGCATTGACCAATGGCAAGTCTCGAAAACGGCTGCTGCAAATTCCCTGCACTTCATGTATTATAGTTATGGTGAGTACTATTTGTAGGTAGTACTTCCAATTGTTTTTTTACGTTTAAAATAGTTTGAAATATGTACAATGATGGCACAGTTAGAATAGATAATTCAGTAAATATTTCTTTGCATGATATTCTTTGATGTACCCCTTTTATGCATCTAATAATTTTCTTTTGCTGTAGAAATACTTTTTCTATTTGAGTTGAGCCTCCCCAAAATATCAACCCATAGGATATATTTGATTGTATCAACCATAATAAACCAATAACAGCACGTCCATTGACACTGTATTCTTCAATTGCCTTAGTACAAAGCAGTTTATTACTCAGTACTCAGTTTATTACATAAGCTGTTAATATGGTTTTCCCAGCTTAGTTTATGGTCGAAGGTATACCTAGAAACTTCATTGATGTGACCTGTTCAATACTTTTGCCATCAATTCTAATCAGGGAACAGAACGTATTATTAATGTTTTTTGGAATGAATGATATAAAATTTGATTTTTATCTGTTCACACACAAGCCCGTACTGGAACACCATGTGTGAAATTGGTTTGCAACGGTGTTGGCAGTTTCTACTGTTTTTGCTAAGTTGTTTTCTCTCGCTATCATAGTTGTGTCGTCTGCATACATCATTTTGTGCGCTTGTTTGCATGTGGAGGTGATATCATTGACAAAAATAGTTAACAGTACTGGACCCAGTAGTGATCCTTGCGGTACCCCTACATTTACAGTTTTCTCTTCCGATTTTGCACTACCCAGTATCAATACTTGTTTTCGATATTCGAGATACGATGTGAGCCAATTTAGTGGCATCCCTCTAACACCAATGTGATAGTTTCTCAACTAGGAGATTGTGATCGACCGTATCAAACGCTTTAATCAGATCAAAGAAAAGTACAATAAAGCTGTTTTTTGAGTTCAAAGCATCATATAGTTGCAAACATAATTCTGCCATAGCAGAACTGGTAGACTTATTTTGTCGAAAACCGTGCTAAGTGCTATTATAGAATACTTTGTGAGGATGAGGAATCTCAAAGAATGATTGTTATTTGTTTTCAAAGTTCTAGATGACAGTGAGGTACTGTTTGAAATTGATTCACTCCTAAAATATTGTTTTGGAATGTAACACACACACATACACACCAAAATTGTATGCTGTACCCTTTAATTCATAATAATAATACTTATTGATTTCTTTAGCACATCCTAATATACATACTTTTTTTTTAAATATTCATTTCAAATAATCATTAGTGTGCATAAGTAATTACTGACAAAGTAATAACAAAAATGATGAATCATTACTGGAAGAAAAAATCATTCTAAAATGATTACATAATAGTTTAAACATGTAGATATATAAAACGAATATATTACAAAACAGAAAAAATCAGGGGCGAGAATTTACATAGTTGATGAGTTTTTTTTGAATTGAAAAATATTTTTTGAATCTTTCAACGAAGGTGGAAGTTTATCATACTCATTCAACCCTTTATAAATTGAAGACTGTCGAACTACAATTTAGTTTGAGGAAGAAGGAATTTTTGGGAGCTACTCGCTCTTGTTAAGTGGTTATGGATCTGAGATATACAGAATTCTTCAAAATACGTTGAAAGCAAGTTATGTACTAGTTTGTGAATGAAAATCATCGCTAACTTTACAGTATTCGGGGAACAAACACCCACTGCAATGTACTTAACATGTTTGATTTACTAGTATACCTATTTACTTGTAAAATAATTCTCATTCCATGATTCTGTAACTATTGCATAGCCAATACCTTATTTTGGTCAACCATGAATGGTATCTATATCTGTCAGGTAGATTAAAAATAATATAGGTCCCAAAACACTCCCCTGAGGTACCCCGAAAACGACATCACGATATGATGACACTGAATCTTTTCATTTTGGTTACCTGTTTGCGTTGTGATAAATAATCAGTCAGCCATAACAAAACAGTCTCCCTGATTCCAATACTTTGCAGTTTATTTAGTAATATGTGGCGATCAGTTATCTCAAAAGCTCTTTTAAGATCTAAAAATACGGCTGTAATATAATGTCCCTTATCTATTGATGCCTTCCATTTTGATATTGTGACTTGTAATGCAGACTCACATGAATGGTATTTTCTGAAACCTGACTGATATTTTAGTAATATATCATTATTTTCTAGATATTCAATGAGTTGATTATAAAAGGCGAGTTCTAATATTTTTTCAATACAAAGCAAAGTGTTGATTGGTCTAAATTCCCAGGATTTATTGGTGTTAGGGACTTTCTGAATTGGCACAAGGGCATTGGCAAGGGAATTGGCATCGAGGGAGTTGTTAATCGATATAACATTGTCCTCATGAAGTAAATCAGATCAACAGTGTTCACAATTTTTTGTATGCTCTCAAAAAAAAATTGTTAAATGATTCTGCAACATCTAGATTATTTTTATGAACGACTGACTGACCATTTATTTTGAAATAAATACCATCAGCAAATGTATTGCTGTTAGTCTTTGGACTTACAAGCAAATGCTACCAACTTCGACGGAATTTCGGCGAAGTTTCTACCGCCTTCGATTACGACATATAAACGCTAGCTACGAGCATATTGATACAGTGAAGTGGAAGTTACAGTGCGGTACGCGAAGCGATCTAGTAAGGCGATAGACATTTGAATAATAGTTGAAATTATAGTTGAAGTGTTTGTTGTATTCAAAGTAAAATAAAGTTAACTTTGATTATTGTTCAGTGTAGTCAATTATTGGTCAACCCACGAGGAGAAACGTAACACTGTTACCCAACACACCTTTCTGAATATAAGTTATTTGGGTCACTAGACTATTAAACTGTAAGTAACTATACTCACCCTTGGTGGTAAGGTGAATTTTTCCAAAAAGTGATATACAACTTTCAAGATGCAAAATGTATCCGAACTGTCTTTCCAAGTGATGCCAAAGTCCTCAATGATTATAGTAATAGTCTCTAAAAGGAGCGCCAAGTATTCGGGCTCGCTCAAGAAGAAAGGTATCAGATCAGGATAATTCTCCATGCAAAAAGTTATGTCCACCAAAGTACGCGTGAAACAACCAAATGCAAATATAGCATTATCACGTTTGTAATACTTTTTTGAGTGCAAGAAATACTTCAACGCCACCGTTCCCTGAGAGAATGAATCGTTATGATATAAATAGTCTCTCCACTTATAAAAAATCCTCAATGTGGCTGGGGCTATACGATCTACAAACTTCTGCATGAAACGAGTCCGACACTCATCCTGTTCTTCAAGTTTTTCCAAACAGGATCTTATTTTCTTTATATTGAACGAGGTGGCCGGAAGTATCTGTAGAATCATTAGCTGATCTTCGAATGACAAGTCAATCAGTTTTGGAGACAACCACACCGGAGAAGTTTCTTCCATAATTTTCCAATAATCTAGACTGGATAAGATTATTTTGTATACAGTTTTCACTGGTCCTTTCGATACAGCATCATACAGAACCTCAAACAATTTCACTGTCATATCGATTTCTCCACAACGAATAATTTTTTTCTTGTGAGACTTGAAGTGCATGTCGAAGAAACACAAAATAATCAATATTTTGTATAAGTTATGAATGGAATCCTCATTTTCAGTTTGCGATATCAATTTTTGGACACATTTTTCCAGGCCACACTCCTCAGCAACCATCCAAATGTACTCTTTTTCGTTGGAGCGTACTTGATTTTCCAATGATTTGAGCAGCATTTCAACCACAAGTTGTAGATGAGGAGCTGAAGATTTATCCAAGGCATCATTTGTCTTCGCAAGCAAATCATTTGTCGTCAGCTTATTGGAAGCTTCAATCAGGGGTGTTAAGATAAACTGTATGATCGCTTTACAAAGTGTGCCGTACTTGAGACCTGCTACTACAAGTAATTTGGCGATGCATTTACATCCTTCCTTCGAAATGTAAACAGTGTGTGCATTTAAAGCTGAGTTCAAAATGATTTTCCAATGATTTGCAGTCATCATCCACTCCCATCCAGTTTCGTGATCTGTGAATGATAACAACAACTTCACAAGTGCCAGCTCGACGTTGGGTTGCGGAGGGGATGCCATACTTGAGGTTGATAAATGGAGCAACGATTCGAAAATGTTCGCATTTTTCAGTTCGATAAATATTTTTTCAGTGGAGCACAAAGTGCTTAGCAAATTCATTGTGAAGGCCAAAACTTCAGGTTTAGGAATTTCCTTAGTTTCCGCCCATTTTGTAGTAACATTCGAGCACCAATCCAATAAAAATTGACGAATTGACCTATCTTGACCAGCTTCTGCATCATTATCTGCAAAAATTTATACATACAGATTTTATTATATCATAGTTCTTTATAATATACGAGGTCTGGGGAAAAAATAAGGTGAACTTTTTATCAAAAAACATTAATTTATTCATCAATGAAAAGTGCAACGACGGTCAAAATCTTATTGGCCGCAAAATAATTTCTGCACGATTCCCTAGGTTTGACTTTACAGAGACATCTTACTACCCTTTTCTGTAATATCAACACAGATTAGTGAAGGGTTGCACTGCATGTTCCCCAAAATGGTATTCCATATCTTATTTGGGATTCAATTAAAGCGTAGTAAACCATTTTTGTTGTGTTAGAAACCACCCTCACTGCATAACATCCGGAGGAGATTTTACTATTGAGTTGCCTGACGTGTAGAAAAGTGATGGCCCCAGGATGGACCCCTGAGGAACTCCACAAGTTATATCAGTTGTTTGGCTAACTGCATCATTAAGCACCACATTTTGAGTATGTCCCACCAGATAGTCGCTGAACTATATCAGAGGAATACCATGCACACCGGGTATTTGTAGTACTTCCAATAGAAGTTTATGATCCACTGTGTTGAATGCCTTCCTTAAGCCTAGGGATAAAAACACACAATTTAAACCTTTGTCCAATTCATCTATCATGTTTGTAATTAAGTCACTTGTTGCAGTTTGGGTACTGCTATTTCCTCTAAAACCATATTGACCATGATACCAGAAATTTGTGTGATTAAGGAAGGTGAAGATAACAGAGATATAGGTCTATAGTTGTTACTAGCTGAGGGATCATCTCCTTTGCAGATAGGGATGCCTCTTGCTCTTTTTAGTGCTTGAGGTACAGAGCCAGTTGTGAAAGTAAGATTCACTAGAAGGCTTACAAAATTGGTGATTTCATCTGTGAAGGCCCTGAGTATTTCTACAGATATACGGTCCTACAGCTTTACCAGATTTTATTTTTTGAATTATCCGTATTATTTCTTCCGGGGTTGTTGGTTCTAAAGCAAACACAGCCCCTGTCGTAGCTATTCTTGGAGGCTTAAAATCTGTTTTTGGAATTGTCCTTGCTAAAGTTGGGCCAATGTTGGTAAAGAAGTTGTTTAATTCNGGAGTCTTTTCCTATTTACTGTCTCAAAGGCTCTTTTCAAATCTAAGTAAACTGCTCCTACATTCATATTTTGATCTGTCCACATTTTCCAGTCAAATAAAACACTTTGGACCGCTGTTTCGCAATTATGCCCAGTTCTAAAACCTGATTGATTTTCAGTTAGAATATTATTACTATTTAAAAAATTTAACATTTGTACATAGACAACTTTCTCAATTAGTTTTTCTATTGCCAACAAAGTATTTATTGGTCGCATATCACTGCCTTTACTTGTATTTCATTACTTGTATACAGAGGAAGAGTAAGGGCCCAAGTGTACTACCTTGTGGCACTCCATTATCATTAATAGTTTCGGAGGAGGTAATATTATTGACCTTTGACCAAATAGTCTGTGAACCATTTTAGTACTGTGCTGGTTATTCCATAGTATTGTAGTTTTGAAAAGTTATCTCTTCTATCGACTGTCTCGAAGGCGCGTCGCAAATCTAAGAATATGGCTCCAATTGATTTGTTTTCGTTTATCCACATTTTCCAGTTAAATAAGATATTTTGCACAGCAATTTCACAACTGTGCCCAACTCTGAAGCCTGACTGATATTCTGACAAAATATCATTATCATTTACGTACTGGATCAATTGTTTATATTATAAAATGTGCTTCACATGATGAATATACAAGTAGCAAGGTACACATCATTATTAAAGACAAGAAGTATGAACATGTTGAAACCAAAGAACAGGATAGTAATTCCAAAAACGTTGGTACGCTTATGCCAACATTTTTTTCCAATGCTTGAAGCAGTTCCATTTTCCACACAAAATTTGATCGCCGAATATGCAGAACACTTCTAACTTTCATGCCTCTCACCAACAAACTAAACATGATAAACAGCTAAAACTGTGAACATATGTCAGAGACAAATGTACAGACATGGAAAAATAAAAAAATCGCTTATCGAAAGTACGTAGCCAACTTTTAACATTCACCTTATTTTTTGAACAGACCTTGTATTCATTACGGGGACCTCATTTAGGGCCATTACTTTTCAACCTGAAAAATGAGAAATAAAACACTCTATTTATAACGTTACAGCAGTTTCGTCCTCTAACAAAATTTTCAATGTCAATTCTTCTGATGCTACCATTGGAATCTGTACAATTGATTGACATCAATTAATAAGACAATAGACTTGGAGATGTGAAAATGAGGTTGGGGCTTCTAATCGTATATGTTGTAAACTGTTAAATTTTCAGATAGTACTATGTACTAGTACTATGTACAATAAATATTGAAAATTTGTCATGAAGCACACTTACTTATACAACAGCACATTGATATTTATTAACTGAAAGTTCAATGGTATTTATGAGTTGTAGGTACAACTGATTATCCACTTTTTTTTGTTGTCACCAACACTATATTTAAATGAAAAACAAATGTGTGAATTTAATTCAATAAATCTAATTTTAATTGTAAAATGAAGGCCTTGTGTCCTTACCTGTCACTTTGGTGGTCAAATGGGTCAGCAGTAAGTTGAGATATGAATCATTTTTCAGGTTGAAATTCGGATCTATCAACTTGTCCAATACCTTTTCAATCCTAACATTAAGTGATGATTCCATTTCAGACTCTAAACAAATACAAGTTTTAGCTGATTAGAATATTCAAAGCAAGAAAGGATTCATCGAAAAAATATCAAAAATGAGAAAGGATTAAAATAATTTGAAATTAGTATGTACATCTCCAGAAGAATGTTTTGTGTATCGCTTACGAATAGGTGTGCTACAGTGACCTGTTTTCATGTGTATAAGACTTGTAATATGTCTTCTATTCCAGTACTATGGTGTTACTGGGAATTCCTAGTAGATCCTAAAATATGCTTTACCTTTTACTTGTATATTTTTTCTCCATTGTACGTAAAATTAGTTCGTTATTTTTTGTTTCTGGTATGAAATGAAGTTATTTTTTATTTATTTTCATATCCAGTGGACCATTTAAAGAATAAGTACCAATTTTTGCCAACATATCGACTTGTTCGTTGCCTACATTATTGTGTTCAGGTATCCAAGCAAATTTGAAAGTAATGTTGTTCTGTTCTGCCCTATTTAATAAATCTTTTATATTTAGCGTAATATAATCTAACTAATGTTATTGCAGTTTTGTCATATAAGGACATTTTCAAACTTACTTATTAATGACCAAGTTAAAAAAAACTACATATTTTATGATCACACTTTCAAATACTTTTAATTTTTGTAATACTTGTGAATTATTGTTTATGATATTAGTTGATAAGTCTTAGAATAAGTTGTAAAACCACAAATTTACTTTTGTAAACTTTGTTACATATGGGACCTGGTTGAATAAACAAAATGTCAAATTTCAGTCATAGTATACTTTTACTTGAGGTGAATTACTTTTTATTTCAATTCAAGTTATGTGCAAAACATTGTCATCTATGGAAAAAACTTGAATTATAAATTTAACGAATGTACATTGATATATTTTCTATATCATCTTGCGAACTGTCCAAGGAAAATACTAATAATTATTATTGGCACTGTAACAGTAACAAGAGTTCCTCCACTTTCATCAGTACCGGGGCAATAAATTGTCGATTTGTCACCAAAACTGCCCCTTGCTTCGTCTTGAGCATTGCTATGGCCAGTTCCCAAGTTACATAGATCTGTTCTGCAAGACCTGAAGTACTGCCGATGAGTTTCATCTTCCACTACCTGGTTGATATAGATCGGAACATCTGTGCAGGATCTTGTCATAGATTGCAATTTCCCTCTTGGATCCTTGTAAAAGTAATTGGATTAATAAAAAGTGGTAATCCTATCACCACATTATTGTTGGTAGACAGAAAGTGTATTACTATGTTTATATCGATATGTGACAAGTTGGATGCAAGTATTTCTAACATTACTGTTCAATTAGTCAATTAGTACATTGAAGAGAGACAGATGTATTTCGAAATGAAATTTGAAATATTCACGTCCTCCAGCGGAATACTTGAACAGATCTTGTCTTAGACGAAATTTTTGTAAACAAGGTCTGTTCAAAAAATACAAACACAGTGGTCTGAAAAGTTCCCGACCTCAACATAAAGATGGCAGCACTCGTAAAGCTAGTGAATTTCGTTGTTCAACTGTTAACAGTTCCTCACCAAAGTTTCAGCCATTTTGGACGCGCAGTTATGTAACAGCCGTTTGAGTGAGCTGATGTGTTTTTATGAAAATGGGCAAAACCGAGTAATAATANAGAATTTGTGGAAATTGCGATTGTACTGTATGTGAAAAACATATTTTTAATCGTTGTCCTAATTCTTGTCATGTTACCTTTGCATATGTTGGAATATATAGTCATTATTTTATTTTTAATCATTTACATTTCATACTTCATGTTTATATTGATATTTATTTGACATGTGTTTTTAACAAGAATTTTATTCTGATACAATAAACATGTTATCTATCAATCAATCGATCAATACTAGGGATACTATAACAGCACTGAAGGATATGAAGGTGTACTCCACAAAAACTGAATTTGTGTTTTGAGTTGTGATATTTCTTCATCATGAATTGAAAATATTGAATTCTGTTGCACTTCAATGAAACTATCTATCACTATTCTATGCCACGTTCATGTCAGCGTTGCCAACGTAGCACAAGTCGATTAATTCCCTTAGCATAAAAACTTTATGCTCGGGATACGATGAAATCGGCAAAGGCCATTTCTGCCTGGTCTTGATTGGCGAAGGTACTACCGGTGAGAAAGTTATCGAAGTGATTGAAAAGGTACTATAGTACAATTCCATAACAGTGGGCACTGAATTCTCAGAAATATTATTTCATTAAAACGAAAACATTGTTGTCATGATTGGTCATTTTTCCTCATCTGCTTGCTATAATTTACGTACGCCACTGCAGGAGATAGATTAAGTCGAAAACGTCAGTCATTTCTGAGACGTTAGTGCCTACTATTTTGGAATTATAGTATAGTCGGTTGACGAGAGGTCTGTGGAATATGGTGGGTGTTGCAATACTTCGACGTTCAATTCGTTCAATTTTCGGACGGTGATTTGTGAAACGTGCAGACGGGCGCTGTCGTGAAGCAGGATCGGACCCCTTCTGTTGATCAGTGTAGGCTGCTACTGACGCAATTTTTGATACATTTCGTCGATTTCCGCGTGTGATCGGACGAGGCGAATAGAAGTTAATCAGTTAGTGAAGATAGAAAGAGACAGAGTTACATTTCGTATATTACTGTGGGGGCAAGAGAGAAAGAGAGGTGCGAGCACACATTTACGGTCGAGTAGGATCTGAAGAATTGAAGAAAATTATCATACGTTGCCACTAATTTTAACATGAGAATTCAATGTTTATTTCGCGTCCGAAGATAGACAACTCTTGTCAAACTTTCTACAAGGTAAATTTGATCTAAAAATGAATAATAACTGAAATGAGTCTACCACAAGACATGAAACAACAATCGATGCAGTTTTGTCAAGGTATCTTCTTAATTTTCATTCAAAAATATATGCATCTTATTTCTCACTAGCGAATATACTACATGTTTTTATTTCTTATAAAAAGTAAAGGATTCATAACAGTTTCATTATATTGTGAAATCATATGAAAGTGATATACATAAATAATGAATAATAGTGGCTCCAAGACACTGCCTTGTGGTACTACTAAATTTGTATCTGAAGCCTCCGACTTGACAAGTTTCTGGGTCTCTTGAACAAACCAGTTTGGCTCATTACCACAAGTTTCATTAGTAGAATAGAAGAATCACTACAGTCAAAAGCTTTGGATATATCCAAAAATACCACAAGCTATATTTCCACTATCTAGGCAGGTGTAGATGTTAGTTAGATCAAATAGGTAATATTGTTTCAACACTTCTGCATTTCAAAAATCCATGTTGATTAGCACTAAAGATATTGTGCTCATTAACTGCTAAGTCAAATAATTGAGTAAAAGCTGAGTAAAATTGATAAGTCTACAGCTATCAAATAGTTCATGGTTTCATAACATGGTGTATGTGTATAGAGAAAATATAGTGGTGGGCCCAAAACTGAACCCTGGAGAAGTCCATTTTTGACGTTTACAAATGTTCCTATCTATCGTGACAGCTTACTTTGGTTCGAACAATGATCTTCTAAAAGTTATAATGAAACTACAGAAAATCCGATAAATAACAGCTAGGAGTAGCTGATGCTTTATTCTGGCGAATGCTTCAGTGTAATCAAGCAAGAATGCCAATATGTACTAATTCCAAGGAGAGCAGTAACATAGCTATAAAGCAAAGGATGTTGATTGGGCGGAGTTCTTTGATATCAGTTGGATTGGGATTTTCGGTGATGGTAGAATGAAAGGAAACACTTTTTTTCAAGACAAATGTTGAAAACGTGGCAAACAACTGGGAGGATCGTTGAAAAGCAATGCAATAGCGGATATATTACGAACGACAACCCTCAGTAGTCGAACATTATGCGACCTAAAGACTAACGAGGTCTTACCTTTTAAGGTGTGATTCCTAACTATGCTGATATTAATGACTTCAACGGACTTGTTAAAAGAATTCTATAATATTGTATTGCAGCAATAATGATTTATGGTAGAAATGTCAGGGAGAAGATCGCTGGCAACAGAATTTATGAAGTAAGCGTTGATTTCAGTTGCATTCAATTCGGAAAAAATGTTTCGAGATATAATTCATCCAAATAATAAAAAAAAAATTCTCTTAGGATATATGGAATATTTTTAATATAATCTGATTTGTGTTTTATTCTGAACTACAAAACATACTGTACAAAAACAACATTCAATGAAAGGCTGAAATGTCCCAAATCCACAATTCAGCTCTGCTAACGGTCTTTTTGATAATCTGATACTAATGTAGTATCTCTGAATATTCAAAAAAAATTAAAGTACATGCGTAGAATAAAATTCAAAGTACAAGCATAGAATAAACCTACCTGAAGTTTTAGCAATAAGGAAGAACACTGTAAAAATTAGGAGAAATATATTTTTCATTGTTACACCTGAATGAACCTTTTTGTGACTAATTTTTATCGGAAATGTTCCTTGGAGTTGATAAGATACCAGGATAATCAATCACTGATAACTGATTCAGATTAGAGAATCTGATTATGTCGCAATTTCGTAGAAAGAGAAATTGAAATACATTGTTTAGTGGAGAGCATGTTTCCTGTCATTCTCAAAGGTACAAGGTCTGTTTCAAAAATAAAGTGAATTTTAATTTTTCTCAAAGAATATTTACTTTGAGCTCTTTCAGCAATTCGCTTTTTATCTCCTCAATTGTCGCAAAACACTATTCTTTTACAATTTCTTCCAATCTTAATATTCCAATATTCATATTTTGATTTTCATGGAATTATTTTCCAGCAGCTTGACTGCATTAACCTTTCTCGATTTCATATCATTTCTAGAAACATGTGGATTCGTTTTCTGATTGCATTTCAGGTTAGCTTTCCTAATTTCTGCTACCGCAGTTGTCGGTTGATTGGTCAAACCACCAACACTGACATAAAAACTTGGCAAGTTGACTTGGATGTCACACCAATAGGTGGTTCCACTTATGTCTCCCTTACGTTTACGCAGTTATTTTTATTAAGTACTTTTCTTGGTTGTAAATCAAGATGGATTTCGGCCACATTTTGTTTAGTCAGGGAAACTATAGATTACGCTGTAGACGACCCCTCCCGATATAGAAGGCCCCGACACTCTGTCGAATGAGGCCCCTATGTCCTCCGTTAACAGATGAATAATATCTTCATCCATCTCACCCCAGCCAGGTAGGGGTATACCGCGAAGGGCGGTATGGATGTCTGAGGACTTTCATGCCACCATCAAACATCAGTCATGACCCGTTTGTCTTTCTGGCAAACATCAGTTAAAAGGGGAAGGGAGCCAGGCTTCAACCTGAAAAAAATCAAGATGGATAACGTCACATTTTGTCTATAATGAGTTTCCCCCTCGTATCAAAGCCTTGATACGAGAGAGAAATCGCTTGAGAAGGCTCTATCGGCGAACCCTTTTCCCAGGGGATAAAATTGCGGCAAATAGGATGGCCAACCAAGTCAAGCAGGCCATCATTGATCATCGAAACGAAAGGTGGGAAGAGCTTTTGGAATCCTTTAAACCTGGGAGTGACGAGCTTTGGCGAGTTTCAGCTTAACGTTGACGACGACGACATCGATCGCGATATGCTGTTGGAAGCCGGGTTCACCGACTCCTCAGGGAAGATGACGATGACGACATCCGTCCAGCTTCTGTGGAAGAGCTGAAGGGATATATCAGGGCCGCAAAGGCTAAGAAAGCACCGGGTGTCGACTCAATAACTAACAAGTTGTTGAAGAGGCTTCCGGACAACTGCGTTGGATGCTTACTAAACATATTAAATAGTTCATTGCCCCTCAGACACTTTCCCAGAAGGTGGAAGCATGCGGTCGTCGTCATGATCCCAAAACAGGGTCAGAACCCGATGTTTCCACAGAACTACCGCCCGATCAGTCTACTCTCTTTGGCGGCTAAGCTGGCTGAAAAAGTTGTTCTCCAAAGGCTTAACGAAGAAGTTGAGGACCGAAATGCTCTGCCTGATGAACAATTTGGCTTCAGGAGAGACCACTCCACTGAGTTACAGGCTCTAAGGCTGGTCGAAAACACCATCCACGAGTTAAACACCAACAAAAAGTGCACATTGTCCTATTAGACATCTCGAAGGCCTTCGACCGTGTTTGGCACGAAGGTCTTCTGCACAAATTAAAAACGTTCGACCTGCCTCGGGGCCTCGTCCGGTGGATCGGGTCTTTCCTAAAAGACAGGACATTTCAGGTTGAAGTAGAGGGATCTCTGTCTGATAACAGAGAGTTCTTTGCTGGAGGGCCACAGGTGGCCGTGCTCTCTCCGACGTTGTACTCACTTTACACCAGTGACCTTCCGAGGCCCGAGCGTGTGAAGATATCTCTGTACGCCGATGACACGGCTCTCCTCTTATCTTCCATGAGTCGGGAGCTCGGCGTCGTCTATCTACGTGCATTGGATGACCTCGAGCGCTGGTACCTTGATTGGAAGATCCGAGTGAACCCGGATAAGATAACACTTATTATTATTGTTATAGTAGTGATGACCAAGATTTGTGAGCATCATTTCTTTCTATCGATTTGGAAAATTATTGACCTTTTTCTCATCAAGAATAATCAGAAATAAACCAACAAAAAAGAACTCTGCAAAAATAATTTTTTTATTTGCATAATAATCATTTCAGAAATCCAATGTCTTGATCTGGTTTTATTTGAGCTAGGGTTTCCAACAAAGCTTTGTTCAACCTTTTAGCAACAGTATATCCCAATTTCAAACTTTCCAGCAGTGTTGAAGGATGCAAAGACCCTGTTCCTGTCTGTGACACTGTGCTAAATTTGTTTCCTGAGACTGCAACCACTACTGATCCCAATGAACACTGTTCTTCTGCTGCATTTGGGTCAACTATGCATTTTTCCCCTATTTTACAAACTGTGACCTAGAATAAATTCAGAGGATATTCTTGACATAAAAATATGTTTCGCTTTCATCGAAATATATAGAATAATGGTGCATAACTTGCAAATGGATAAATACTATACATTATACATAACCATAATTGTAGAATTTTCACAATAAATTTTATTTGAAGGACTATTGTCAGTGTGTCAAATCGAATATTATTTTGAATTCAATAATACAATACATAACAACAAACTACTATATGTAAATGACTTGGCTACTATGTATATGTATTTCTGGTAGTTCCATCATTTTGGCAGATGATATCACACTTTTTTGTCACAATAAAAATCACCAAAATTCATACGAAGGCATCTGTAATGAACTCAGAGAAATTAAACAATGGTGTGATGCAAATCTGTTGTAATTCAACATTTAAAAACAAGTATAATCACCTTTAGGTGCAACCTACCAGAAATTCATATAGAATAGTCTTTCTCAAAGTGGACGATAACGACGCTGGACGATAGGCGCTGGAGGCCTATAAAGGGGCAGTAAAGGGCACAGAGAAGATTGGGGGGGGTTGAAGCGGTTTAGGGGGGCGATGACTGATTTAAAAATATTTTTTTGCTTTTTAACACAAACTTTACCGCTCCTTTACGCTTAACGCGCGTTTCCTCGTGTAACGCCATCTAGGGGACTAGACAGTAACTATTTCCTGTCCGATAGTTGTCAAACTGTACCATAGATGGCGGTAAGCTTCAATGCGAAGCGAGAAGTTTCTAGTCTCCAACTTCAAGGTGACGACTTGAATTTGATTAAAATAAAAAACGTCATTGCTGCTTTTGTACCCAAATCGCTCTTATACAAGAATAATATCGGCAGATGCGAGTTTCGCAATTTCCCTAATTTGTCAGCAGTATCTTTCAACAACGACGACTTGCTTGTTTACTGCCAACATTTGGAGAACCTTCACAGTGATTTCGCAGAACGATTCCAGGTCATTTTAATATTGGAAATACCAATCCCGCAATTGTACCCTGGATTGTGCTCCATCGTTTAACGATTTTTGATAGCATTCCCATCATCGTATTTGTGTGAACGTGGATTCAACGTTGCTAACTAACAACAGAAATCGGTTGCAGATTACCGAACGCGGTGACTTGCGGCTGTTTTCGAGTAAATTCGAGCCTGATATCAACAATATTAAAAATCATCAAATTCATCCTTCACATTACATTAGTTTTAAAATTCAAATTGAAATGTTTGTTTCAATAACATGAATAAAAGTTTTCCTAATATTACAAAATGGTGTTTTACATTACCCCCATCAGAAAGTCTTATTTTCACATAACACACATAATTTAATTATTAAAATAATGACTGCGATTGTGATTCTTGAGATGTAGTAAAGTAAAAAAATTTGGGGGGCGCTAGAAAATAATTATTTCTCGAAGTGGGATGTAGTCAAAATAAGTTTGAGAACCTCTGATATAGAAAGTATACTAGTGGAGAATAAGATCTCTACAAAATTCTTGGGGATCAGTATCGATGAGTGACTGAAATTCAAAGAGCATATTGGCATTGCAAATGAGAAGTGTGTTTTGCACTTAGAATAATATCGAGAGAACTAGGGTTTCATGCAGTAAAAAATGTTTATTATGCCCTCATAGACTCTAACCTAAGGTATGACATAGCATTTTGGGGTGTACACAGTAAACAGCTGTTTCGAACTGTTTTCATCTTACAAAAATGTGCGGTACGGTATCTCTGTGGAGCAAATTGAAATGATCTATACAAGCTACTGTTTATAATGCTTGAAATTTTAACTGGGACTTCATTGTCTGTTCTTGAATCAGCAATGCCTTATACGCAAGAACAAAAGGTACCTTTACTTCTCCGTCTCACAACAATACTACACAGGCTTGCCAATTGAAGGTTCCTATCTGAACAAGTAGTCAAATCAAGAACTCAATTGTATATAATGGAGTGAAAATGTTCAAGTGAGGTACCTGAAAGTTCAACAGAATGTGTCAAGCTACTATATTTCAGGAGAAACTTGAAGGCAGTTCTTGTCAAAAAGGCTTACTAAACATTAGACGAATTTTTTGATCGACACATAATCTTCATATATGTAATTTTCTTTCTCTTCATAGTGAAACGAGTTAAAGAATCAAATGTCTTGAACAAATTTATTTCTAACAATATTTCACTAACACAAACTAATTTATATTCAACACTTAGCAACTAACGCTTAATTTATCTTCACTATTCGAATTCCTTGTTTAACCGCTCGATTCACTTTCTGAATTCAACTGCAATCTCTGGGCGAAAAGCGGGCCTTATATATCGGTAACTGTCGTTCTAGATTTCTCTAGTGGTTTCGGTACTCAACTAGAATTTAAGCGGCGTTTCTGTTGATTGCATTCTTTCACGGTGAGTCATGTGTTTATTCGCTGGCTGAGATATCGGTCAGGGCCGGATTCAGATTTGTTAAATTAGTGTTTTTTTATAAATGTCATTTGTTTACTCAATTTTTTTTTACTCATGTACAAGCTTACATTTTAACAAACATACTGCTTGAATATGTGCTCATGTGTGTATATATGTGTGGACATGTATATATGTATGTATATAAGTACTTAATATAGTTATATATCACATTTTAGCAAAAAAATGTTTGTCAACAAGATGTATTTCTTTTGACGTTAAACATATATCTTTCGCAATCCAATTTAATTTCATTGGGTCGTATAATCTGGCCTTAAAAGTTTCAATTATCAAGTTAAAGGTAACTACCAATCTGAAAAATGACTTACCAACACCGGAGCTTTCTCAACATCTAACCTCTGACAATCAGAAAGATCCTCAGATACATCCACCTCCACATTGTTGCCATCAATGTTGACCTTCTTCACTAGTGGAACTTGGGTATTCCATAGAGCAGCCTTAACTGCTAGAGATACTGCATCAAAAAGATTGCCCCCGCATTCAAGTAGCTGAAACTTAACATTTTGAGGGCACTGAGAATGTTTTGACACAGAAAACTCACTAAAATATCAACATATACTTTCCAACATTTCCTCCCTTTCAAAATACATAACTTTTTCAAATCGAATGCAAGCTGTGAACGGTATGCAGAGCTCAAAGTATTTGCAATTTCTATGGCTAAATCCTCACCTCCCCTTCCTTCAAAATCGGGTGTTGCATTAGCAGAGCTGGAAATTTATTTTAAAAATCATCAGTAACAAGTAGAGATACATACATACATACAATTTAGTTATTTATTAGAGGTCAAGTTGACAAATAGCATATTGAAATATTATATATAAATGAAAAACGATTAATATATTTGTTATGTGTTTTAACACTTTACTCTGAGAAAGGTCATGCTATTTGAGGCAATATTTCATTGTTTCATGAACATGATAGTTACTGGAAATTTCCTAGACTTAAAAAGTCATTACCAATCAACGAAAAATTCCAATTTTCCTTCGTATGGTCTTTCTGGAAAAGGGACATCCATTTCCATTTTGACAGCAACCAAAACATCTGTATTTGCTAATCTTAGGCGAGCAGAACCAAAAGCATGTGATATGATATCAGTTTCCAACTCCATAGGCCTGTAGTCCTCCCTTTCTCTGCCATCAACTCTAAAGTTTTCCTAAATAATCTTTATATCAGTACATTATTCATCGTTACAGATCAAATTAATTACTTCAACTCCATGCAAAACGAATGTTTTTTCTGCTTCACAAAGGGACATTTCTGTTGAAAATATTTCTTTATTTCTTATTCTGAAAAGTCCTAACCTACAAAATATAAAAACAAAAACAGTTCGATAACCTCAATTTCAATTAGTCGCGAGCGTGTATCTCGGTGGAAGACCACCGACATAACCTATAAGTTTATTTCGATGTGGAATACTCTCAAGTTTGTCCAAACATAGACGACACGTCGTAAGCGAGGTGAGAGCGATTTAGTTATTTCTTGCTAACAAGAGTTCAATTTGAAAAATTATCTGTTAATTATTGATGGATTACAAAATGTCAATACTGGTCATTTTTTATCTATATTTCCATTGTATGCAGCTGAAAATTATAATGTCAGCATTATGGTCCATTCTTCCTCATTATATAAACTCATACCAAGATGCATAGAATGTCCCTAAGGCAAAGAAATGATAATAGAGATCCAATCAATTTTAGCCTTTCATTCACAGAGGTGCTGATGATTACTCAAATGACACGGTTTCATTTGGGAGTGAAATAATTTCAGCTGGAAGTTTTTTTACATGGTGGTACATAAATTGAATTTTTGAACGAAATATTTTGAACGACAGATTTCGATTCTTGCACCATCTACCAATGTGTGTACAAAGTTGGTCACTCTCATTTCTCGCGTCGAGAGCTTTCGACAAAAAAAAAGTATCGATCAAAACACCAGGGTTTCTATGCTTCTTTACCTATACCATTACTGGGCAATCTTTTTGTTGTATATAAATTTTGGGCAACATGCTAATATGCTTTAGTGCCCTCTTCAGGCCGGTGGAAGAGAAAACAAAGAAGCAATTGAATGACTTCTACAAAGCTTCTACTCTGAAGTCACGGAAAATCGTAATGTTGAGAAATAATAATATAGATGGTGTAAATTGTACGAAATTCATCTTTTTGTAGAGAAAATCTTTTTGGGGATTTTCATCTTCAACATTCTGAAAAACATTAAGGAGAAGTAGAAGGTCTATTCGTTTTTTCCAAAAACTGATATCTCCAAAAAACATTCCCTTTTCAATTTATGAAATGTAGTTACATTCAAGTATCTACGATAAGAAATGGACCACCCAGTGTAAACTTACCTATTCATTTCCTTAAACCTCTTTTGGAGATATCAGGTTTTCTGAAACTGGGAATTTCCATCGTTTTGCATATTCCTGCAGAGTGCACCTATTCTGAACCGGTCGATGCTCAATTTGAAATTCAAATGTGACAATTTGCAATACAGGTAATTACATCCTGTTTCACTCGTTAACAACACTCTTGTGAAACTGGTTTCATATCAATATATCAAGAGAGGTTTCATGACCGTTGAATGGAAATATTTCAGTTTTTTGACAGACTAAACTTTTTGTGATATTTTTATTTACGATGAGCCTGACAAATCATTTTTATCTGTGACAATGAAAGGTTGAGTTGAATAGAAGATTACATAATCATTATAATTTTTGAAAAGTGATGTGTGAAATCCTCAAAGTATGATAATAAAAAAATGTTTGAAGGCAAATCTCTAGGAAGATCTCACTGCAAAGTGTATGGCGATTAGTTAAAATCAATAAATTCAAAATATGATTTTAAGTATTCCATTTTTAAATTCATATCTATATATACCTTGAAAATTGGAAGTTATTCTGATGGACTATTCTCAAAAATTTTATTTGAATCACCACTACGTTTCCTTTATGCGAAGAGCGGCAGAGAAAAATCCCAACCGGTATCGGTTCAAATTCTACCACCTGTTACAGTATTTCCTTCAGACATATACCCAGAAACTACCTATTCTAAGTATGACAATACTAAAAGTAGATCTTTCTCTCTCTGCACCCCACTTCTCACTCTACGTTACACTACACTATAAGAATAAACTCTATGACTGAAGAGAAGAAGAGTATTAGTTGACGTTTATTTGTATATCTAACCGAAAAATGAATAATAAATAATTAAAATGATTATTATGGACCTAGAGTAGGTGTCAGTATTCTGATTAGATTCATTTAGAGTACTACTGTAGACTGCTCAGAAGAATCCTAGATCTGTGATAATAAAAAAAAGAAATTTAAATAATTGGTATGTTAAAATCTACAAGTTGAAGTTGGCAAACAGTATTAATTGGAAAGTGGAAAAATTCATTGTTAACCAGATCATATAAGGCAGTTGGAAGTAAGTGGCTTGAACAGGAATTGGAGGAGCGTGGAATTGCTCACATATGCGGATACTTCTAACATAGAGAAGTCCGGAACAATAAGTTGGATCCATTCTTAGAGCTAATTGAATGTATTGAAAGTCGATTCAAACCAAAGTATATGAAAATAATGTGCACCAATTTTTCAAAATTTCCTCGCCCTTTTGGTTGATATGCCACACCCTCTTGTGGGCGTGGTTCCAATGACTAAAGTCCAGCCAAATTTATTCGAAGAAGAATTATGATTTTTTTCTGATTGATTCCGGTCGTTACTTGATGAAGATCCATTGTAATTTCAAGAACTACGTCTCACGATTTGATTTCCACAAGTTTGTGGAAATCACTTGAACACCTCTCGTGGAAGTATCTATAAAAGAGAGACAAGTCTCCATCCTTTCTTAAATTAAGAGATTTCAAGTCAACTAACTTCCCGACGTTTCGATTGTTAGTATCCACAATCGTTTTCAGCTGTGATGAATGGACTAATTTCTCTGAAAAATTACTATTTATGGAACATTCGAGTATTTTCACTTATCTCCTCTTTCCGCTTCACCGGTATAGCGGAAGATGACCGTTTGGCGGGAGTTGGCAATTTTTCCCTTGATTATGAGTGTCCATATGTTGCGTATCTCTACAGTAGCTTGGCTGAATACATTGTTGGACAACATGTATGCGGCTTCTTTGAATTTCCTACTGAACCAGTGTTCCTCCCTGTGTAAGATCTCAGCTTGCGACAACTCGACGTTATGTTGATGTGTCCAAACATGCTGTGCTATTCCTGATTTGCTGGTTTCTCCTCGCTGTGTGTGTTTCTTGTGCGCGGCAATGCGAACTTTCAATGGCTTCTTAGTTTCACCGATATATAGGATTTTCCGCACTCACAGGGTATTCGGTAAATATAATTCTTGGAATCGCAGTCCGAGTTTGGTGGCCTGGTTTTCGTGAGGCTGCTACGGATAGTGTTTCCGGATCTAAAGCAGGTTCTGATGTTGTACCCTGCATCTATATTTATAAAGGTCTGCTTCATGAGAGATACAACATAGTCAATCTTTATCACGAGTCAGTCACTCATAATTATGCAACACAAACTAAACACTTAACCATACCAAAACACAAAACGTTGACATTCAAGGAATCTTTGTGGTGAAACGGCACTATACTTTTTAATTCATTGTCACAGGATGTTAATACCTAAACATAATACCTTTCAAGAGTAATATCAAGGAATCATTGACGAACGGGAAATAATATAGCTGAGATAAGTTCCTGAAAACGGATGTCTGATATAATTTGCTGTCACTGCGTTTTCCTTTCCAGATTGTTTGTTGAACTTCTCAATTATATAGAAGTATTCCTACTATGTTATTTATATAATGATTCATCTACTATCTTAGAATCTGTATCTGTTTCTTTGTATCCAAAAAACCGTAGGTTTTGTGACCTACATGTTAACGTACAAATGAAGTAAATAGTTTGTAGGGAAAGGCCGGGCAAAGTGAACACCCCAGGCAAAGCGAATACTCCCCACTACTTCTAAATTATTCATTCGACTGTCATCACACCACCGTAGTGGCATTCCGCCATTTTGATTTAGTACGCGGCAAACACTAAAGCAGGAGGCCGCGTCGCTTGCCCGCCGCAGAGTGGAGATTTGTGTTTTTGTGAAAAAAAGATTGATTTTACGAGGTAAGTATATTGATTTTATTTCCAGTACTATTAGTTCTTGATCTTAAGAAATATTTTGATTCAGTACCATGTTAAAGTAGGTTTTTATTGTATCTTTCACAAAAGTTTAGAATTATTCGTTTTTGTACAAAATTTGTTAACCTCAAAAGTTACCTAGTCCGGCAAAAAGAATAGGGCAAAGTGAATATGGTATTCACTTTGCCCACTATTCGTTATTATTGACTTGTAATTTCATCATATTGTTTATTTGTTTGAGATGGTTAATAAATATAAAAAAAAACTAAACAAGGGTCGTGGGATGAGAATGTCATGAAAATAGCTATTTATTTGTGCAAAGCTGGCGAATCCATAAAAAGCACAGCTAAAAAGTATGGGTTGGCCTATGCAACCTTGTACAGGCACGTCAAAACCGGCACCACTGCTCCAAAATTGGGTCGATTCCGTCCTGTTTTCAATGAAGATCAGGAGACAGAGTTGTTAACATATCTGAAGGATATGGATTCTGTTNTCAATTGTCCTGTATGCGTCACAGAGCAATTTTTTTTTATTATCATTTCATTATCTAAAAATATCAGCGCGATGCGTAGAATAGCTAAAAAAGCTATCGAAAAGATTACGGAAATTCAAACAATGACGTATTTTGACAGAGCCATGATAAATCACTGCCTGTACGCACGTTTACTCTTTTCAGCGTCTTTATTTAATAAGGATCCAGGTTGGATATCATCCCTCTCGTTTGAAAACCATTAGTCTTGTTGAATGTCACTAAATGGTGGGAATATATCGGGAAGGATACAATTTCGGATGTTAAAGTTTATGCGAAATGTTCCAGGGATATCTCTGATCGGATTACGTTGCACACTAAACCCAACAAACATGACATTGGTTTATCAGTAGCAGTAACATAAGACGATGAATTTCTATTTCTGCCCGAAAACTGTGTTATTCAGCAATACCATGAGAGGAAACATTGGTATGCTCAAAAATAACAAAGTTTGAGTTTGAAACAATGGACATTTCACATGGTAATAATCATAACATTTTCAAAAACACGTTGATTTTCAGATGCGTTTCGGTAGAACAGTAGCTTCCTACCGAGGAAGGTAACGAGATGACGTCATAAGTCATGGTAATTGATATTGGAAAATGTACCTATTCAAATCAGTTTCATATAAATTGAACACCACATTCAGAAGCACGTCAGGTTCAACGAAAAGTTGTGTGCTGTTATCG